CCCAAGTATCGGCAGCGACACTTTATTCCTATATAACAAAGAGTTGTTTAGGAATTTTATAATCTTCCATTCTTATTAAATGGCCAGAGTCCACTTCAGACTATGTTGAATGATCATAACTTCAACAGTCTGACAGTCACGTTTTGGTATGTATATATCCACTAACATGCTTCTTCCAATGTATACAAAGAATATGCTTAAGACACTTCCACAGAAAACGCCCCAGTTTACAGCCCTTTTAACCTCTTCACAAGAAAGTGATTCTTCTTCATTGAAATGTTCTTTTCACTTCTTTAGCTTGTTGTTGCAGATCGTTATTATCCATTACGGCGTGACTGGATAGGATTATGCAATAACTTTGCATTGTTGGACTTTGAAGCAGATTGAATTTTATTAGACTTTGACCATTTTATATCTCTCGCACTATGAAGTTATGGCTACTCACTGGCTTTTTTTGTCCTTGATTATGCCGGACCATCGTGCGTATTTAGGATAACCATCTTTAAACCTTATCGTTTTCATTAATTCAGTTAAGCCCAAGAATATGACACAAGTATTAAAAATAGACTCCTTAAAACTCATTCTCACATTACATTACCCCCAAATTATGCACCAGTTCTTCTTGAACCGCTCCATCTTTCAGGCGAGAAACATCCCTTCTCTTAGGGAAAGCTATCCCATTGCTTTTAAATTTGTGTTTGACAACAAAATGGACGTTTGCTCATATTGGAAGTTGATTAATCCAGTATTCAGAGTCACACATTATACGGACATATGCATATATTATTGTCGAAATATAATCTATAAGATGCTATATGGTTTTAAGTCATTTGTATTTATACAAAATCATTACAATTTCAATTCCATACGTCATGCCTTCCTATAAATTTCCATACTTCATAGTCTTTTCCAACTCTTGAATTAAAGCCATCAAGGATGATGATGAGGATCTTGTCAGCCAGGAGGGATTTTTTGAACAAAATCTCCAGGAAAAAAAATAAAATAAATATATCATATTTAGAAGAATGCATATACACTTACAAAAGTAATATGACAATTATTAGCCAATGGATGCTTCATAAATAGAAGCCGATCACTCACTTCTCATTGAATCTCCAAAAGCCTTGATACTATCGAAGTCTTCACTGCAAAGGCTATACCAGCTTCTATTCTATATGACTCTTCTCTTCTACTTCAGTATAATGTTTTGTCTATATAATTGATGAATCCAGTTTCTGACAGCGTTATAATGTCCATATTTATACAGACCACATCTTCTTTCAGGGCGTGTTTCAATGGGCTGTCACTCTAACAAAGTTCTTACGTTCTAACAACTCTATATTTGTTGACTTATGCTTTCTCGCAGTAGTACATTGAAGACCACGGCTGAACTTCAGACACTTGCCTAACCAGGCTCTTTCACATACAATTCCAGAGAATTTAGATCAATATTGTTATGAGTTAACATTATTTTTGTTTTATTTCTGTTCATTCGAATCCCAGTCGAATCTATTACATTCACTTACGTGCTAATACCCTTGGGAAAGGTATGAATCCTCTTCTTCTCCCTCCTCCCAGCTATGGGTAAATAGCAGGACAGACCGGGTTCTATAACCTTGGATGGCAACTGGTCTATCGCAGAAAGTTTGTGAGTCTGTAGGTATATTTTTAGAGTAATTTGAATATGTTCGATAGTAATGGGATAGGACAAAAGTGTTATCGAAGTTTTTATTATATTATTTATACGAAATGAGATAAATATATAGACCGTCAATGATACAGGTATCAGATAAGGACACGATTGCAATGCTATGGTTAACATGTAAACGACAGAGATTGATCTTTAATGGGTGCTCTTATATCTGTGTCCATGTCTCAGACATTTAGCAAACTTTGTAAGTTACTACCATAGTGCAATAATTACCGCGATTGTTACGTAGACTATTGTCAATGAATTTGTCTCTTATTGTGTGTCCCATGAAAGGTGATTTTGCGCCAGAATTGACGTTCAGCAAATATCATTCATGGTCAAACATTGTACTTTGAATTCTAGAATATCATTTTTTTAAATTACCTTATACTACTGACAGATATTGTAAAATTTCTCATATATATATACATATATATATATATATATATATATATATATATATATATATATATATATATATATATATTCGAAATTTATTTATAAAGAGTCGTCTGTAATTTTAACTAATAACAACCATTAAAATCTCAGTAGATTTCAGTGTGGTTCAATATATCTTTGCCTGACATGTAGTTATTTGCTAAATTTGGACTTGGAATTATCGCTGAATAACATTCTATCAATGGCATTAATATTCTCCACTGAATTTAGTCCGTTGACTATGAAAGAGGTTATGTTGAAAAATAAATATTTTTTTGTATAAGATACGTGTTTTTTTATCGTACGTTCCAAAACGTTTTCTCCTCTTACAAAATGTAAAAAATATATTTAATGGTAGCGTTTACAAGATATTTTTTCAATCAGACATGGTAAAGAATGTAAACCATTTTTGTCAAAACCTAATGTTTATAACAGCTGTTTCTAATAACAAAGCAAATTCTATTCAATTGCGTCTATTGAAGCGAAATCTTATGATAAAACATAAAAGGCACTTTTTTTGTTTTCACATGTGGATTAAGAAAGAAAGAAACTAGAAAACGTTTTAATTCTTTATTTTCTTTAAGAAAAAATACAGAATCATTTGAACAAAAATGAAACAGTGATCCGTTAAACACACTTTGATATAATTAGAGATATCTGGTAAATATGTTTTATTCTGTTTTAATCTTATCCTTTGCTATGTAAGACACTACTATTAAAAAAGTCGAAAACACAAGTTCTCAATTATTCACACTTTTGTATATACTTGCACAAATTTACATGTTCGCATCAGCTCATCAACATATATCAACACACGCATGCGCAAACATAATCGCGTTTTCATTCATAAAATGATATTCTCACACACGTTCGCACATACAAGTAAAAGCACAGATACAATCAGTGATTTTACACATTTCTTTTTAATCTGTCATTTCTCCCTGATCCTGCTCTTTACGTTTGTTTTAACAAGCGTCATTGATATCTCATCCCATCTCTAGTCACAATCTTGTCTAACGCACGTATTATCTAATTATTAGCCTCTTCGTTCTTTTCCCCTGTTTTTGTTTCGATGCAATCGGTAAATATATACAGACATCTACACCCGTCTGCTGTTCTCGTTTTCGCTTACACACACATATATATATGTACACATCCGATATTATTACTAAATACAATCTGTTTTCCTTCAATTTTTTCTAGCTTATATTATTGTTCATTTAGTTACTTATTCGGGATTTCTGAAGAATTTTGTAACTTTGAAAGAAGTCATTTCGAGAAGCGATATTTACATTCTTGTAAAATCATTTTTGAAAACAATTTTGTGTTACAGTCGATACATCGTCTATTAGAGATGCAATCAATTTTCTCCCTTAATTCCAAATAGACACTTTTTGAAAAAAAAAAAAAGAAAAAAAAAGAAAAAAAAAAAAAAAACCCAGAAATCTCGTAGAGTTCATAGACATTTCAAAACGATCCGCACAATTAACTTGGTTCACGGCGATGCACACCTGTATTTACTAAGCTTAGTCTGGCACAAGATAAACAAGAACGAGACACTCGGTATGAATCGAACAGTTGTGATGAGATGTGAAACTAGTTTTGTAATAGTTGCTTCTCGAGAGAGAGAAAATATTTGCTAAAATTATCTTAGTCTGGCACAAGGCCACAGTTGTGGAACATTTGTGACGTCAGAGCTCACTAGTGCGAGACAAGCTCACAAACCAATGTCCCACGGCAAGGTATACATTTATTTAGTAAGATTAATCTAGTACAAACTCCACAATAGTGAGAGAATGATAGATTGACAGTGTATTGAATACAGATTACTAGTTAAGGGTTTGCTAGATTAATTTATTAACTACTCTATGGTAGGCGCTTTAACATGACTTAAATATCATTGTTAATATTGTTCGGAACTTTTGTAAAAGCCATTGTCGCTATTTGATGATAGTAGAATATCATTGTTTTTACTTTCAGTAATTTGTCGATAAAACGAGAAACGAACGAAAGATGCACAGACATAAAGCAAAACAAAACGAAAAGAAGAGAAACCATTCTGTTGGTAAAGAACATTTTCGACAGACAATATACGTGACAAAACCTGAGCCAATAAAACCTGGCACTTCAGCGGTAAGACTTACTTTCTGAATCTTGAATCTGACCTATAATAACCAAGAAGTATAATTGAATTAAAACAAAAAAGAAAATGTGCCAAGTTCTTTTTGTTCTTTCTGGAAAGGGACAAATCATTTATTTCATTTGTTTATACTTTTGTTTTGTTTTCCTACCCGCATATTTTTCGTGCATAATTTTTATATTATTTTCTAGATTTCATTCATTTTTCACCAATCCTCCTCCTCGCCGAACTTTTTTTTTTTTAATAATCATTCATTCTGAATAAATATGATAAGTGAACGATAAACCGAAGACAAAATGTAATGAGGAGTGGTCGCTATTGTGTGCAAAAAAATACGAAAGGGAAAGAATAACGGTTTTAAAAAATAAACAAAATCCAGGAAAAAAGATGAGAAAGCCATGTGTAAAAAGACAAGATGGCGAAATGCAAACAAGTATTTTGATTGATTGAGAAGGGTCACGTCTAGAGGTTCTTTTGGAAAGCGGCATTTTTTTTTGCGGCTTCGGCATTGGAATCTGTCACTCGATGACGATAGAGGACCCTTAATTTGACAGCACCACAAACCAGCCACGGAAAGGGGGCCAGTCGTTAGAAGCGCCCATCTACCCATTTAGGACGACATTACCAAACAACAGATGACTCAAAACCCCCATTGTCAGAAACAAAGGAAGCGGGCATTTTTTCAAACTAAACCAATAATCAAAAGAAATTCGAGTTCCACCTGGACTGAATTTAGCGTGAGAGTGAGAGAGAGAGAGAGAGAGAGAGAGAGAGAGAGAGAGAGAGAGAGACGTTCTTTGAACAGGGCACAACCAATTTTGCCGTCGCGACGCATGCGCATACATTTTTTGTTTCGGGACGATTGAAAGCAGTTCTCAAGTGGTGAGAATGTGACACAACCAAATTTAAACATAACAATGTAATTGTGACCAATAATTGTAAGTAGAAACGAGATGAAATTAAGACTGGAGATGAAAAAGAAGTTATTAGTGAGTGTGTGTGTGTTTGTGTGTGTGTGTGTGTGTGTGTGTGTGTGTGTGTGTGTGTGTGTGTGTGTGTGTGTGAGAGAGAGAGAGAGAGCAGAACTGGTAACTTTCAGCGGATTTTCATAGAGTGACAAAAAGGAAGACAACCAGAAGATTACATATTAGCTTCGATAATTCCATTCCTGCTGCAAGTTACTCTGTAAATATCGCCTGATACATAGAATTAGCTTAATCTGAATTAATTGAATCATGCCAGGTGAAGAAAGAATTTGTTTCGGTTCTTGTTTCTAAGTTCATCTCATTTCTACGAATTGTGAGTTCAATTCTTGGGCTAGACTGTACAGGTACACACGGGCTGGTTGGAGCAAGTATTTCCTTATAATAAGATATATTGTCGAAAAGAAGTCATGAATTCAAATCTTCTAAAGGAGAGGACGATACTATGAAGACAAAAATAACAAAACTTCCTGTGCAAAATAAAGGGTTGTGTTCCCAACTCTTTAAAGGTTGCGGAATGAGAGCGTTGCCTAAAGAAAGCTGAATAGCATATCAACTGAAGGTCGTAATGGAAAAAACAAAAATGAAGGATGTCAATCGAAAACAATCAATGAATAGCAAGTATATCACGTTTCAGAAATTCACATAGAAAATACTATATCATATAATATGCATAGATTTGACTTGGGTGCTTTCTTTCTATATCTGTTTATATTTCTGAGATTTGGTATTGCAACTATTTACACTATTTACATTGTTTGGACTGTTGTCCTCATCCTCGTTGCAATATTCACGACGTTTCGGCCGTTGTACGCTCCGGCCTTTTTCAGTTTTATTGGAATTTCGAACTGAACACTTTATTTCATCTACCGGTGAAGATTGTTCTAGATCCACGTGACATGCCTCTTCCAGATATCTCAGCATCAGTTATCTCCCTTTAACTCAACTCTCCAACATTTTGTCCACCTCTGCTGTATTGAACTCACAACTCTTTGTGTCAGGTCACTGGTTTACTTCAACCAGCGCTTTTATCCTCAAGGACACATGGCCCAATGGATAAAAGCAGAGGTGAACAAAAACTTGGAGAGTTCAGTTAAAGGGAGATAACCGATGCTGAGACATCTGAAAGAGGCATAGCACGTAGATCTAGAACAATCTAACCCGGTGGATAAAATAAAGGGTTCAGTTCGAAATTCCAATCATCTGAAGAAGAAATTTACGCTATGATTTTCAGTCAATGAAAGAATACGGGAATTCAATGTATGTATTTTTGCCCCCTTTTATGCAAGGAAAAAAAAACGATGCTGTTGTGAAAAAATATTTGCGTATCTGAAATGAGAAAACCCGAAATATCAAGAGGTCAAAAGCATTTACTTGGCCATTCTTGGGAAAACTTACCCATTCATTAAAAAAAAAACTTGCTACAAAATAAGTAGTACTGAAACGACACCAAAAGGGCCAATGGTGGCATCTGTAGAAAACGCGGCGTGAAACATACATTTTAAGCCGGCATTTATTAGAAATTAAAAAATAGTTTGAAGTGGCCGAAGACTATACACGGTACAGTATTCAACATCGCTTTTTATATCAGTCTATCTTAAAGCAATACTCAGCAAATTGGTTCCACCATTCTGTAGATTTGCTTTTAGCAAACCTGTGTCAAAAGCGCGTATTAATAACGAGCCTAGTCAAGTCCTCTTAAATGTTATCAATTCTAATGGTTTTAAAAAAATTTCACCCCAAAAAAAGAAAAGAAAAAATATTAAAAATTCACTAAAATAACACATGTATTAACAAAAATTAAATCGGATTAATTAATAATATAGGATCCATTAATTTCTTAAAATTAATTTGTTTACTTTTCATCTACGGAAGTTCGAACGCATTCATAAATAGTTTTTTAGATATTGATTGGTAATAATTATCAATATCAAACTGCATTAGTGTACAATTGTTTTTTTTCTTTTATGTTAGTAAACCAGTTTATCACTCCCTTGGTATTAATCCAAAGTTTCAGGCTTATTTTTACTTTACTTTGTTTATTTACCCTTTCAAGGATCATTTTACTAATTTTTCCAATATCCGGTCTTGTAGGATTTATTATCCTTGTAGTGGGATTAGCCTCAAAATCTTGTTTGTGGTCCTTTAAGGTTATGTAGCATTCTTTTTTGATATAGTTAACCTACTCTATCACTGATCTTTAGTTTATCAGTGATTTCTTTAGTGCTAGTATTGATATCCCGAACTATGTTGAGGTCATTTTTATTCGCTTTCTTGTAGGTCTTATGTAAGTCCTTATTTATTAGGTCGTTGTATTCCTTTATGGTTATTTTATAAAAGTTTCCAGTTTTGTCGGATTTTACTAAAATTTTATCTGTAGCGTTAATGTGCTTTACTATCTTATCTAGGCGTTTCTGGAAGTAGCATTTTTTATCATGGAAATTTATGTTGTTAATTATTTCCAGTAAGTCCTTTTCGAAAGCGGACAAATTATGAATAAACGGTGCTGCTTTTTTACTGTTAAAACCGTAAGTTTCCTTGTAGTTTTTGCTTTGAGATTCGTTCTTATTAAGGAAGAAGTAAGCTCTCCATCTCATCCTACGTATGAGTTCCTCTGTTTTTTCACGAAATATCACGAAATATTCCTTTTTGTTGGTATTAGGAATGTTCTTCAGAGAAATTCCGTAAGTAATTTTCTCCATATTTTCTTGTTAAAAATAGAGATTTAGAGTGCTCGACTTTGATTAGGAGCTAATAATATTAATGCTCTCTAAATTTACATTGAGCACTATTTTGCAAAAATAAAAAATATCTATAAGAACACATATATATATATGTGTGTGTGTGTGTGTGTGTGTGTGTGTGTGTGTGTGTGTGTGTGTGTGTGTATCATTTTCATGAAAAACGACTGACAAGGTACTGTGATTAAGCCTTTTATTTAATTTTTCTTGTGTTCGTTAAAGTATTTACTTTTGTAAGAACAATCCGAATATTTTTATATATCCGAGCGCTTTTGGCTATTTTATTAGTCATTATCAAAGATTTTTTTAACTTTATAAACTGAATATGTAGATTTTTATAATGTGTATGTATATAGGAATTTATTTTCCGAACACCGTCAGCACATTGTGTCCGTGTTCATAGTTGATATTATTAAGTGTTGGATTTTTCTTTTTTATGCTTCCATTATTTTAGCCTTATATATATATATATATATATATATATATATATATATATATATACCTCCCATCATAATCTGGCAACTCTGAATCTGAGCTCAACGAAAATCGTTCCCGGTAATTAACTTGTCTAGGGCTTTTCAATGCGCTATGAATCATGGAAATCGGACCAGCGGGATCGGAGGAGTTGCTTTGACACGCGCACGCACAAACACATATACACTGTATTTTTTATATAAGATGATGACATAGAAGATTGCTATGCGACGATAACGATCGCGGAATAGCAGACGCAATTCGTAAGTTCAAGATGCGGTTCTATGACGTCATACCACACGAGAGGCCGAAATCTTAACAACAGACCCATATGACTAGATGCAATGTAATGTGTTGTGACTAGGGAAAGCCACGCGAAATATTATTAATATACGTTTTTATCATTATCAACGGCATTATTATTATTATCATTTGACTATGTCAACATAACAAAATGTTATCTTCGATGGTGAATATCTTTGTTAAAATGTCTGTATAACCACTTTGAAGATGTCTTATGTCTCATTAAAAAAATATCCAAATGTTGGACAATTTTTGTCTTTATTTTCAGCCGAAACATACGAACATTAGAACTGCTCATGATCAGACATACGAGACATTCATTATCTGCTATATTTAACCAATATATATTTAAATAATGATCTGCTGTCTCAATATATATATATATATATATATATATATATATATATATATATATATATATATATATATATATATATATATATTGGGTCCTAAGATTTTTATGCAAGTCAAATATTTTCTTGTATTTTTTTTTGTGTGTGTGGTATTTTTACTGTGTTCGGTCAAAGATTTAGAAAATCTGACATGCTCAATTGTGTCCTATTGCTTCTGCTTAACGATAAATAATTGTCAGTCCGCTAATTTTAATATTGGACGTATGTAGGCCGTAAATCATCTTTGGTTAATGGCGAGAAAGAGTAAATTGTTTAGCAGCTTCATGTTCATTAAACAACATATGTTACAAACCAGACTGCATATAGTGTGCACCCTGACAAAAGGAAGAGACGGATATCGCTGACTTTCGCTCAGCGAATAGAAACCTAATTAAAAATTGAGATGCGCATGCCTCTAAGTAGTAAAATGAAGCCATTGGGTTTCCAAATGTAGTTAAAACCTCACGATGCCTCATACTAAAGCATTTAGAAACGTGTGTGAAACCACTTGTTTGCCCTCATTTGAAGTCAAATGATCTCATTAAACGTGGGAACTTGGACAAACAGTAGAAAAATTAATTTTTTCTCAGAAAGAGTTATTCCCTGACTTCAGGCGTGGAAATTATTTTGTTTTTCGTAAAATTCAGGTAGCACCCGAGAGGAAAATATAATGCGAATCGAAATATGTGTTTTTGAAATGTATTTTTGATATTTTTCGTCTCGGATGCTACCTGAATTTTACCAAAAACAAAATAATTTCCACGCCTGAAAATGACTGAATGTACAGTCGATAGTACTTGCGTATTTAAGAAAGACCTAATACCGCTTATAATTTTAAAACTCAAGGATCATAACATTCATCGAGTGATTGATAGGTTAATACACCTTTAAAATTTTGTTAGCGAAGGTATTTCGCCATTTTATACTTTACTAATTTACTTTTTGCATGAATGATTCATTGTAATATAAATTGAACTGCACCACCTATTTGATATATATATATATATATATATATATATATATATATATATATATATATATTGCGTGTGTGTATGTTTTTGTGTCCATATTATTAGAATGCTTATAGACTCAAGTATAAAGGACCAATATCTACCTCAATATAGACTCAATAATAATAATAATAATAATAATGCCGTTGATAATGATAAAAACGTATTTCGATATTAAATAGCGCAACAAGTATTTATATATTATAAAATCCATCAACTCAAATCCATAATTTTAGAATGGAAATTAGAAATAAGATAAAAAGTAGGAAAAAGTATGAAAACGCGATGTGGGTGGAAAAATTTAAAAAAAAGAAGCAATAAATGAATGCGATAGGAAGGATGAAAGGCACAAGAAACGAATGTGAATGAAAGAACAGTGATTGCCTAAAAGTGGTTGAGGAATCACGGTATAAAGAGATTGAATTTAAAAAAAAATGAGAGACAGTAGGAAAATAAGCGTAAATGAAAGTAAAGAAAAGACGATGATGTTGACAAAAGAAAGAAAAAGAAAACAAAGAAACTAAAACCGGTGCGGGGAAAAAAAAGTGGAAGAGAGAAAGAATGAAGAAAGAAGACAGATAATGGATATAAAGAAAAGAGGAAGGGAGAATGAAAGGAAATTAGAGAGAATTAACAAAAAAAATGAGAGCATGAAAAAAATGAGAGAAGGTACAAGAGAGTGAGAGAGAGAGAGAGAGAGAGAGAGAGAGAGAGAGAGAGAGAGAGAGAGAGAGAAAGAAATTTAATGAAAAGTAAAGAGTGAGCGAGAGAATGAATGAATGAATTAAAATATGGTGTAAATATCAAGGGAAAATTTATGGAAAGAACGTGAGAAGGCCTCTACTGCATCTGTCCACCCAAAAATCACATACGAGCCAACGAGCGTTCTCTTTGTGTTTTGGGGGTCTTACATGCAGAATAACTTCGAGAGCTCCTTCAAGCAGTCCAATATGGGCCTCCGGTGTGACGCGGACACAGCCAGACTCGATTTGCATACTAATATGAACATAATGGGATGAACGTTCGTAGGTCTTTCAAGAACAGGCCTTGTTTTTGCTCGTGTCAAGCCGGCCGGAGGATAGAAATAAAAAAAAAAATAATAAAAAAAAAACGAGGTTGGGGGGGGGGAAGACAAGCACAGAAAAAAAATAAACAACAGCGAACAGCAGTTTTATAAAACTCGCTGTAAGCGGAGAAGCAGCTTTTTTGACAGCCGCTAACTTCTCTCCAATTTGTCAACCAACAAAATAGCTGTCAAAAATGTTATGGAGAGGTTTTGGAGTGCCCATTCGTGTGTCTGTTCGGGTGTGTGTATATTTAACTACCAGCGAAAAAATTTTACGTGCATGCGTACATTTGTGTATGTGACATCTTAACAGAAGCGTCGTCAACCGGCATCGAAGTGAGACAGTACTTATATATCTGCATAAGTGTGTGCGTGTGTGTGTGTGTGTGTGAGAGAGAGAGAGAGAGAGAGAGAGGGGTGAGTGAGTGAGAGAGGGTGAGGGAGAGAGAGAGGAGTAGAACAGTTAGGGAAGGAAGAAAAAGAGAAAATGCACAAATTAATATGTAAGACGAGCAATAGACAGGTAGACATATGAACAGGTTCAAATAGATATGAAGAGACGGAGATAAGTTAAAAACAAAGGGAGATAGATATATAGACAAGTAGAGGGCACTTCAAGTTTATCTCGGTAGATCAATTACAATTTTCACTGGGCGCTCCATACTTTCGGCTTTGTGCCATATCTAAGCTACGGTTAGTAAATCGTTATATAGCAGATGAATAGATGCAGATGGAGAGATACAGATGGAAAGATGCAGATAGAGAAATATATGAAGATTACTCAATTACAAATTGAAAAATAGTGTAATCTAGTGTGAACACGCGTACAGTAAGAACATACATTTGTTTAACGTCGACGTAATTGTCGGTGAATATGTGTGTGTATTTTATACGAACTGCGCCATTTATTTTGAACGAAGTAGCTATTGATATATTTAATTTATCTATCTAGCAAGAACATACCAGAGTAAGGAGTTAATTGTGTGCGTGTATGTATGTGTGTGTGTATTTGTGTGAAAATGACTGTAAAGAAAAATAAAGAAAATGGGGAATGAGAGATCAGGTGAGAATTGGCAAAGATTGATGGCAATTATGAAAAGATAATGAGTGTATACTTGTCCCAATGTGTGAATAAAATTTACTCTTCTGCGTATGGAGGTACGAATGTGTTGCCATAAATGACCAAAGTACACGCTATTCAAGTGAGGGTTGAACGATGAGGGCACTGAAAAAAGTGCAGGTAAACAACGGTCATTGCTAAACACAATCACCACCTTGTATGGCTATTAAGAGATTTGTTGTAGATTGGTGAACTCATATTACCCTTCCCAGGTGCTAGTCCTGATCTCTCTTCCCTTGTTCTCAGAAACCTGAACTAACACTGTTCATCCTTCCGTAATTAAACACTCCCTCTACTTATATCTTCTTTTCTTTTAATCCCTAATATTCTATTGCTTTTTATTTTTTAAACCTATATTAATGCAATGTGGCTTAACAATTATCAGCATATCAGACGGAATAGAGGAACCGAGTTCAAATTTGGGTTGATGTTGTTTATGTTTATTTCGCAGTAATACTTTTCCGACTCTCCTTCCTTTTTTTCTTAACCGTCACTAGATATCTTGACAATGAATATTGTCGCGCAGTAAAGAGAATTCTAGCAGTTTCGGGATTCCTCCTTTTCTGCTGGTACACCAACACTTGACTGTCACATGTCCATGAAAAATGGACACCGCCAATTAACCCTCTTGTCGTCTAAGATGCTAGAATATTTACGTTATTTGATGGTATAGATGGCTTGAACTCTTCTTCAACAAGAAATATTAATGGTATATCGAATGTTACTAGAAATTCATCCATGTTACTTATTTGGTCAAGTTCGAAACAAATATTTATTGCAAATTTATAATATTCTAATATTTGTAGAAAAAGTGAATCAAATATGGTGCTTGTCATTGTAATGCTTGTGTAGGAATCCTTCTACTTGGGATTTTGTTAAACGTCAAAATTCGGAGTGTTGGGATTCGATATAATAACATAAAATATTGGTGCGGGACTGCTCATAATTCGGACGTTTAGAATAATGCCACGACTTTCATTAAAAGAATGAAATCCAACGTAGTATTATCAAATAACATTAATTTTATATAACAACATGAATACAAGTTGGTTGAATGTATTGAATTTTTTGGTTGTTCTTGGATAGAATATAAACTGTATTGCGTACGTATGTGAGAACGATGAAATGTGGTTATATGTGTGCTTATGTGGAAGAGTAAGTATGTGTATGCGTGCGTAGTAGTAACGTGAATAAAGGAGATAGATAGAATTTAGTTCTTACTGTGGACGGTGGCGTCGTAGTCTGAGGCGGTTTCTTTGGAGTCAGTGCTGCTGAGTCGAGCATTGCTTTTACGTGTGGATGTGAATAGGGGGTCTTGAATATCAGCATCTAGAGTGACGTGAACCTTGGTGGTATTTGTGATTCTCTTCTTTGGGGGCCGGACTTTTATACCTTTTTCCCTAAGAAAATGGCTCCACAATGATATTTTATTTATTTCTAATTGACCCTAAAAAGTCACGTGGTATGTCTACTACTACGTCCGCTCGATATTTTGGCGGTATCTACCTAAATTATGATGATTAATGAAACAACTTCTCTGATTTGTATTCTGTAGTTTTGTGTTGTACAGTTTAATTGGCGTGTTCTAAGATCTAAGCACTTTATTGCGTGTTATTTGTTTATAAATATTTTGTATCTGTCTATATTTCTGAGATGAGGTATTATTTACATTATTCAGACTATTGTCCTCATGTTTGTCGCCATATTTATTACAACGTTTCGGCCGTTGTACGCTCTGGCCTTCTTCAGGTGGTTGGAATGTCGAACTGAACCCTTTATTTCGCTCACTGGGGTAGACTCTTTGTCTCTGAACCCAACACTCTTCATTGGGTAAGAAACGTTTAAGGAAGAACAGTTGGACCGACCTCAAATCAGATTTTGATCAGTCGGGTGTTCTTTTGATCAGATGTCAGAAGATGTGGCACCCACCAAGCAGGCACCTTCATCATGACAAGTTCATTGTACAGAATATTCGCAAGTCTTTCACGGGGTATCCTATAGCATTTATTTGATTTATAGTCAATCACCTGTCATCCATCACCAATGTTGTAAACACGATGAAGGTTTTCCACGGTAGTGGCAATTGCAGGACATCCAGACCTTGGGTCATCTTTATGACATCCCCCCACCACTCTTAAATTCACCAGCCCACTTTTGCCTTGTTGATAAAGGAGCGCCATTCGCTAATGTAGCAACCATGTAATCATTTTTTTGCAGATACTTGGTAATATCACGGTACCAAATTTTGTCAATTTTCAAGAGAAGTCGCTGCTAGTTACCTTTAAAGTCTTTTTTGAACAGACAGATGACAATTTACCTGGAAAGAAACAATGCAGTTATTAATAAGAAGAGTTGAAATTAATGCATACAAAATTTCACACCTCTAGAATTACTACTTTATAGTCAGCCATTGAACTTTTCAACCCATCCTTGTAAGATAAAAATGTAATGATCATTAGATTTTCATTTTAAAAATCAGTAGAGAGAAGAGGCAACAAATCATCACTTTATACAATTGTATCTCATTTAAAAGAAACATGTTGGTTATAATTTATCGAATGTTTTACCATCAAGATTGCATAAAAATAATCAATAAATTTCCGACCTAAAACGAGACATCGCGTAATTAATGGCATTTTAAGATTTATAAGAGAGAGAGAGAGAGAGAGAGAGAGACACAGTCTCCATTAAAGAACCAAAAGTGATTTGGTTTCTTGTGGTTTTATTGCTTTCTTTAAAAGTGACGAACATTATAATCGTCAAATATTGTTCAAATTCAGGATGAACCTGCTTTTATTCGGTTTGCATTAATGCTCTTGAGAAAGGCATGGATACATTTTTTTCAACGTTCTGTCTCTCTGTTCCATTGTCGAAGGGTCTTGATATTAGCATATAACGATGATTGGTAGAGCGCCCTGATACTTCAGTATTTCATGATAAAATGAACGCCACCATACAACCCATTTCGCCTTCTGAGATGCCGTTGCATTCTAGCGTGAGATGTTTTGAAACCTATTCAATAAATTTTTCAAAATCTTTAAGGAACCGTTCTCACCTTTCTAAAATTTGTTTTACGATACTTCGCGTAGTAAAGGTTTCTTTCCTTTCTTAAATAGTGTAAAGCAGTTAATTAACAGGAAACCTTTTACAGCTTTCCCATCTCTCCAAATAACCTTTTATATTTGTCTGTCTTGATGTTGAAGGTCGAAGTTACAGCTTGAAATACGATAATATACTTAAGCTCACTCATTTCTCTATCACTTTAAAACTTCCCGCCCTAAACTTATGTTCCTTTTCAAAATTAAAGTAATACATTTTTGAATTATTACAACCAATTGCAGTCAATCATAGCTAACATATCACGCATGGTTATTCTTTGAGTTTGAAAACATTTTCCTCATATAATTAATGCTAACTTCTTCATTTTAGAGCATTTCGCTTTACGAAACGTTTAATAAAGGTAAAACCCCCTTCGCGTGGCGAAACAAATTAAGTCTACGTCTTTCTTACATTTTAATCAAATACCGAGTAAATGTGTATTGCTGTAATTCTTACTTTTAAAATTACACACTGAAGAGTTCTCAACCTAACCAACTCCTCAAATCAGTATTTAAATATCAGACAACTGATTTTGGTAGGTGGTTCGGGCTGAGAACTTTTCACCGCCTCTTCGTAGATTCGGGAAGAAAAAAGACAATGTCTTTAAGAAATTTTTTTTAATCGAGAACTTCCAAATAATTATGTCATCAACAAGTTGGCGAAACGTTTATATTTAGTAGAATAAATAATTAACAGATATAAATGTTGCC